AGTAGTCTGGTTAACTCCTGTGTGATTGAAATGAGTTGAGCTCTGCTGTGCTGTGGTGTGGTCACAGGGCAGTTTGATCAATTTCAGCTCTAACTACAGCCAGCCGCTGGCCTGATGGAACTGATAAGGCCTTGATCAAGGTATTATTATTATGGCTGAGCACTGAGGCATGGAGGGGCCTGGAGGGCTTGGTAGTGGTGGTTCTCTCAGGGGACTGTCTGCTGCAGTAAAGGACCCTCCCCAGGGGAGGGAGATGATGGGGGAAGAGGATTCAAAGGATGAGGGCCTGGGGACACTGATCTGAAATACAGTAGCTAGGCTTTCTATCTGTAGTAAGGTACTTTATGTCTGGTTGGAGACAGGGCTGTGGTTTCATAGATGGTTTTCTCAGATTGTTGACTGGTCAGTAGGGTTGGGTTCCTTTCAAGTCAGTCAATTCTAAAAGTGAATTAAAAATAATAGGGAAACATCATGGGCAATGTTCAGGTCATGGATTGAATTTTAATTCAACCCCTGAACTGTTGGCAGGCCAGTGGATTGGCAGGAAGTGTATGCGTATCTATCGCTGGTAGGGATGGATGCTGTAGAGCTCCCTCACTGCCTCCCATGAGAAACACACACACACACACACACAGCCTGCAGCTGATCAAACCCCCTTTGATTATCACTCTTTCATCTAGGCCTGCTCTTACACAAACACTACACAATCTGCCAGTATGTCACACAAACACACACACACACACATACACACACACACACACACACACACACACACGGTCACACTTTTTAATGCTATCTCTTAGATACATACACATACACATACTCACACACATACACATACACATACACATACACATACACATACACATACACATACACATACACATACACATACACATACAGGGACCCAGTCTGGTAGATGCAGCTCTAGAACACCCACGCTCACTATGTATTTAACACTCAGCCGTCAGCTGCTGCTTTGTGCAGGAAAACAGGACAAACAGTGTCAGAACTGGGTCAAGGAGTTCTGTCCATATGGCAGAACTGGGTCAAGGAGGCCTGTCCATATGGCAGCCTAGCAGGTCCGAATGGAGCAGTTGTATTGTCACATACACCGGATAGGTGCAGTGAAATGTCTTGTTTTACAGGGTCAGCCATAGTACCACGGAGCCCCTGGAGCAAATTAGGGTTAAGAGCGTAGCCCTCTGGAGAGTGTGTGTGTGCATGTGTGTGTGTATGCGTCTTTGTTAGTAGTTTGTAGTTGTGCTCAGTTAAATACAACACTGCTACCCCTAGACAGTCTTTTAACTTACTTTTAAAGTGAGTGGAAATGTTCCATAAAAGTTTCCTCCAGCTGTTTTGCCCATAGCATAGAGGGTGTGAGGGTGTTTGATCCTGCCCTCTCAGCGCTGAGGTGAAATGGGCTATGTTCAAATACAGACGCTGCAGTAAAGGGGGGATGTGAGAAGGGCAGGGAGGGGAGGGAGGGAGGGGAGAGAGAGAGAGATAGAGAGGAAGGAAGCTTTGTATAGATGTATTTGTTTTGGGGGAGGAGGGAGGAGGGAGGAGAGGAAGCTGTGGTGTGGTTCTCTGTACATACAGTATGACCAGCTTGGTTTAATGACCTCCTCTACTCTAGTGTAGTGGTACGACACTGTCAGTCAACTCTCTCTGCCTGGACACCTGTGACCTCTGGAAAGGTCACGGATTCAAAGGTCACAAGGCCTCATTATCAGTTGATGAGAAGGGAAGAAAGAGGAAGCGATGGACAGGAAGCGAGGGAAGGAAACAGGAGGGCATGAGGAGGACAGAGGTTGAACAGAGAGATGGACAACACTTGAGAACGGATATTCCACTCAACTCACTTCCTATCCTAGGCCCCCCTCTTTCCTAATCCTAACCTCCTTTCCCGACATCCATCCCCATCGGAAGAAACATCAGTGTGTTTTCTCCCCTGGGGGACTTAGCTGAATCCAAACACACAAACCAAGCAGCATAATCGGAACATGTGCCTTATTTCTCTCTCAACGTCAGGCTAATTAGCTAGCGTTTGTCGGAACACTGACTGTTATTATTAGTCTGCCATGTCGTTTCTAATTTGTTGAACGTCATTAGCCAGCTCAGTGAAAACAAGTCCCCACCACCAATCATTATAAGGTGATTCAATATAGTCAAGAGGGATACGTGATTGGCTGTCTGCCTGACCGCCTGTTAGACCCGCTGAATCCAAGACCCCCCGCCTCCTCCTCCTCTCTTCACCTCACCTTCCCCCGCTACAGTATGTTTACACAGGGCTAGTCCTCTTAATCCAACCTCCAGGATGATTACTCACTCCATTTCTTAACTCTAAGCAGAAAGAGAAAAATAAGATAGAATGCCGTTATTGAGGATTGGAGGACTCTCAGCAGCTTGGAAGATAACATGAAGCCTGTTCGCTGCTGTTTTCAGATGCCCTCCATGTCTCTAAACACACATGTTTCTGTCCATGTCCCTCCTCTCTCTCTATCTCTCCTTCACTCTCTCTCTCTCTCACCTCATTCTCTCTCTCTCCCCCCTCTCTCTCCACTCAAGACGATAGCCAAAGGCCTCTTCATCGATCCAATAAAACCTAGAGTCAGAGCTGTGAGCTGTGAGTCATCAAATATTCTTATCCCGGCCCTCCATATAAGCCTACTCATTTAGAGCACATTTCGATGATCTTAGACTTTTTCTGTTAGTGCGGCTGCTCTTACCTTCCAAAAACAAAAATCAATAGGAGTCAGATTGGGTTCAGAACGTGCAGTACAGGCTCCGCATCTCAATTCACACCCCCGTCTCCTAAATGCCAAACAATACAAAGTCTGCGTGTTGAAACAGACATTTAAAATTCACATAACATTTAGGGCCAAGTTACAGTGAGGAAAAAAAGTATTTAGTCAGCCACCAATTGTGCAAGTTCTCCCACTTAAAAAGATGAGAGAGGCCTGTAATTTTCATCATAGGTACACGTCAACTATGACAGACAAAATGAGGAAAAAAAATCCAGAAAATCACATTGTAGGATTTTTTATGAATTTATTTGCAAATTATGGTGGAAAATAAGTATTTGGTCAATAACAAAAGTTTCTCAATACTTTGTTATATACCCTTTGTTGGCAATGACACAGGTCAAACGTTTTCTGTAAGTCTTCACAAGGTTTTCACACACTGTTGCTGGTATTTTGGCCCATTCCTCCATGCAGATCTCCTCTAGAGCAGTGATGTTTTGGGGCTGTCGCTGGGCAACACGGACTTTCAACTCCCTCCAAAGATTTTCTATGGGGTTGAGATCTGGAGACTGGCTAGGCCACTCCAGGACCTTGAAATGCTTCTTACGAAGCCACTCCTTTGTTGCCCGGGCGGTGTGTTTGGGATCATTGTCATGCTGAACGGCCCAGCCACGTTTCATCTTCAATGCCCTTGCTGATGGAAGGAGGTTTTCACTCAAAATCTCACGATACATGGCCCCATTCATTCTTTCCTTTACACGGATCAGTCGTCCTGGTCCCTTTGCAGAAAAACAGCCCCAAAGCATGATGTTTCCACCCCCATGCTTCACAGTAGGTATGGTGTTCTTTGGATGCAACTCAGCATTCTTTGTCCTCCAAACACGACGAGTTTAGTTTTTACCAAAAAGTTATATTTTGGTTTCATCTGACCATATGACATTCTCCCAATCCTCTTAAGCAGGGGGACACGTCTGGCACTGCAGGATTTGAGTCCCTGGCGGCGTAGTGTGTTACTGATGGTAGGCTTTGTTACTTTGGTCCCAGCTCTCTGCAGGTCATTCACTAGGTCCCCCCGTGTGGTTCTGGGATTTTTGCTTACCGTTCTTGTGATCATTTTGACCCCACGGGGTGAGATCTTGCGTGGAGCCCCAGATCGAGGGAGATTATCAGTGGTCTTGTATGTCTTCCATTTCCTAATAATTGCTCCCACAGTTGATTTCTTCAAACCAAGCTGCTTACCTATTGCAGATTCAGTCTTCCCAGCCTGGTGCAGGTCTACAATTTTGTTTCTGGTGTCCTTTGACAGCTCTTTGGTCTTGGCCATAGTGGAGTTTGGAGTGTGACTGTTTGAGGTTGTGGACAGGTGTCTTTTATACTGATAACAAGTTCAAACAGGTGACATTAATACAGGTAACGAGTGGAGGACAGAGGAGCCTCTTAAAGAAGAAGTTACAGGTCTGTGAGAGCCAGAAATCTTGCTTGTTTGTAGGTGACCAAATACTTATTTTCCACCATAATTTGCAAATAAATTCATTAAAAATCCTACAATGTGATTTTCAGGAGAAAAAAAATCTCAATTTGTCTGTCATAGTTGACGTGTACCTATGATGAAAATTATAGGCCTCTCTCATCTTTTTAAGTGGGAGAACTTGCACAATTGGTCAATTGAGCAATAAAATGCAACGGCACAGACGGATATTCTTCATTTAATCTCTATGAGTAAATACAATTTGACATTTAATGCACGTTTAGAAGTCAACGGCTTTCTTCTCAAATAGGTAAACAGCATCAAAGTGTTGATTTGGCTTTCTGATATACACCAGCAGGTGTGGAATGGTGATTCCACAGAAGGAGGGAAAGCAGAATATGTTTGATAGTGTATTCCTGTAGCATTTCTTGTGTGTTTTTAAGCTGTGTCTGTGGTGATGTTTGTATCATTTACCTCCATTATTTGAACAGGCTGCCGGTAGCTTCGCCTGTCAAAGACAAAACAAGTCTGATGTTTGACATATTCATACTGGATAATTATTATAAACTAGATTGTGTGTTGAATTGTCCTTGCTTTGACATTACTTTTCTGAGTCTGGTTGATGTGCTGCCAACACAAATTAACTTTGATAGCTCTGCATTTCAATGTAATAACTGTCATTGAATTGGCTTGACAGAGCTCTGATAAGTTGTTTGTTGTGCGGCTGTTATCGTGGTAGTTGGTTATGATGCTTTAACTGATTTTGTTATATCTTTCTTTGGCAGACTGCCAGAGGCTGTGCCCACACTGTCTATCTCCCCTGTCCCTCCTCATCAACCAGCGAATCAACGGCCTTGCTGAGACTGGGTAGGTCCTATCGGAGCCATGGGTGAGGCTAAGGTCCTGCTGTTGGTTCTTCTGATTGGTTGGGAGAAGTCGTTATGTCTCAACTGGAACCCAGTCCCACGCAAGACGGTCAGATACCATGGTGAGTAGATACAGGCCATACCATGTCTGCGCCTGAAATGGAACCCTATTGACCAGAGCCCATAGGGAATAGGGTACTATTTCAGATGCAGCCTATATTAACTGTTCACAGTCACTCAGTTTCCTGTTCTCCTGTTGTCGACTGTCTGTTTTAAGTCCAGCGGTCAATGAAAAAACGATATATAATTTCAAAAGAGGAAGTAACTTACTTCTGCCTCATTGTCACTCATATTCCACATAACCACCTCACACCTTTATTCTGTCCTTTCTTTTCCTCCACTTCCTTCTCTTTCTTCTCCTTTTTATCTCACTCCTCCCTCCTTTCTTTGCTTTCAGCCCTGCTAAGAACCAAACAGCCTGTACTGTTTTCACAAAGACATCACACTTCAGCTCCACTTAGCAAGACTGCTGTTATATAAAAGCAGCCCCCTTTTCTGTCGTCTTTTCTTATTCCCATCTTCCCCACACTCCTTTTCCTGTCCCTGACTCACACTCAACCGTCATTGTTGGTGGTGAGCGGTGAGGGGTGTGGATGGGAATACAATGGAAAAAACTATCGACAAGCAGTCAATACCAGCTTGAGAGACACTGCTAGCGGTAACTCACAACTCCTGCTCACTCAACTCTAGTCAATCCACAGGCTCATCCCAGACCAATAAACAGACTTGGTAAACATTCAACAGGCAATGCAAACAGCCATGCAGCACGCTGCATTAGAGCGAGAGAGCGAGCGCAGAGATAGCGAGAGAGAGAGAGAGCGACGAGCTGAGAGACTGGAAGAGAGAGAGAGAGAGAGAGCTCTCTCTATCGAGATCTATAGCTCGCGAGCTCGAGCTCTCTCGATCGTCCTATAGCTATAAGCTCAGATCTAGATAGATCTATCGCTCGCTCTCTCCTCGCCCTCTCTCTGCTCTCTTGACAAATAGAGTTGAAAGAAAGAGAGACGAGCATAGGACCGAAGCCGGGGGGAGCGCAAGCAGAGAGAAAGAGAGAGCAGAGAGAAAGAGAGGAGCAGGGAGCAGACTGCCTTAAAAGGACAGGAAATAGCTTCACATGAGCGAGAGGAGCAACGGAGTGAGAAAGAGACAGAAAAGACAAGGACACACAAAGCGCAGAACGTTTACAAAGTGTTTTATGTCACGTGGAGCTGTCTCTCTGCACACGCAGATCACATAAACATGAACTCTGTGTGTGGTGCGTGTGTGTGTGTGTGTTGGACCAGAAGTCCTCACCAGGATAGTAAAACAAGGATAATTCGGACAAGTGACATTTCGCCGGTCCCCACAAGGAAAAGGGTTATTTTAGGTTTAGGGTTAAGGTTAGGGTTAGTTAAAGGGTTAAGGTTAAGTTTAGGGTTAGGGGTTATGGAAAATAGGATTTTGAATGGGAATCAAGTCTTTGGTCCCCACAAGGATAGTAAAACAAATGTGTGTGTGTGTTTGTATGCAGTTTGGTGTGAGCAAACGTGGGACAATAAAGAGAGAGAGAGAGAGAGAGAAGAGAGACCCAGAGTGTGTGTATGAATAATGCTTAGCCTGGCTGTGTGAGGGATTTAGTACTCCCAGGCAGTTTGGGGTGGGTGGTGATGATGGGGGAAGGGGGGGAGATCGGAGCAGAGATAATGTTTACTCCCTCTCTCCCCCCACCCAAGCCCAGGCCACGCCTCTATAATTATGTGTGGCTTAAAGTCATTTAGGTTGCGAAGGGGGAAAAACACAAACACTTTGAACTGCTTCTTCTCTCTCTCTCTATTTCTACTTTCTACTAGTTTGTTTGAAAAGCCAGCAGGATGCTTTGATGCAGAGAATGAGACTAAAACTTAAAAGGAAAAACCAAAGCAAATGAGTGGTGCTGATTGAACGAGAGAGATAGAATGAGGATGTGAAGTGAGACCATCCAGAAGAGGGATGGGGGATGGACTTTTTCATTTCTTCTCTCTCCCTCTCTCTCTCATCACTCTCTCTCTCTCTCTCCCCTTCGAAAGGGGGGCTCTCTCATTCTCTCTCTCATCTCTCTCTCTCTCTCTTCTCTCCTCTCTCTCTCTCTCTCTCTCTCTCTCTCTCGCCCACCAATTACAGTAATGAGTGGTTGGGAGGGATGCACTCACTAACTGTAAGTCGCTCTGGATAAGAGCGTCTGCTAAATGACTAAAATAAATACAGATAATAGATGGATAAAGTTGGGGTGGGTATGTGCGTGATTGGGGGAGGACAGACAGAGAGAGAGATACATCATCCATCCATCCATCCACACACTATCTGACATGAGTGTCACTCACCCCCCACCTTCCATCTCTCCATCCCTCCATCCTCCATCTTCCACTATGTCCTGATTGAATGGGATTAATAGTATGGAGCAGATGTGACCTAGAGTGGAGTAGAGGGGCTTTAAATCGTATTGTTCTGTAAACAGCTGGGGGTCTGTCACAAAACGGCTATGATTTTCATAAATCCATCCACGTGCCGTTCTCTCTCTCTAGGCAGGTTGAAGTAGGCACTCTTAACCACGGCACTCTTCTTCAGAAAGGTCATTTGTGGAATAAATCAACAACTCCTCCACTTGTCCTGTTGTTGTGTTAATCCACTTTTAACATTTCCTCTCCATGTTTGCCCTCCCACTCCTCCCCCATCTCTCCCAATCCCCTTCATCTCTCTCACCACTCCCTTTCCTAATCTACAGCAATTACACAGTGCTTCCCATCTCCCTCTCTCTGCTCTCATTCTGTCTCATGCCTTGACATTCAATACAACACTCTGAAGTTTCCCTAGTCTCCTGATGCAACAACTGGGTTTGCGTGTGTCTGTCCGTGATACTAATGTTTGTGTGTACGTTTATCCCCATGTGGGTACCTGACTTGAGGGATTGTACCAGGAATGAGGGATTGTGTGTGTGTGTGTGTGTGTGTGTGTCTTTTGTAGTGGGTGGTGTGCTGTACAGTGTGTATGTCTCCTTATTTCTTGGTCTGTGTTGCTGCTTCAAAGATCCTAAAATAGCCCTTTAATTATAGTGCAGTGTGTGAGCTCCTCCATGGTTAGCAACTATAAGCAGACCCTGGCAGTATTTATAGTAAAGCACTCAAAGAAAAGAAGGAGCATTAGCTTGCTGGAGAAGAGAGGAGAGGCTGGAGCAGCAGCATACATGGAGGCACATCAGAGGAGATCTAAACTAGTCCTGGATCAGTCTTAACTGAGCCCTGCTCTCTGCTCCCTGGACCGCCTGGCCTGGCCTGCTTCTCTGCTGCTCTGGCCTCCCTCCCTCCTTCCAACAGACTGACCCTGAGCTCGCCCACAACGGCACACACAGAAACACACACACACAGATACACACAGAAACACACACACAGATACACAGAAACACACACACACACACACACCCACATAACTAGAGCGGGGCATCACAGAGATGGGAGTATAGAACTCCTTAAGTGTAGTGGCTAGCTAACATCACAGGGAGACAGAGCGCTGGTGCTCTTGTTACCATAGAAGCCATAAAACTGACCTCGGCACATCTCAAGAGTTCAGCTGTAGAGAGACACAGACCTCTGCTGCTTCACCCACAACCAACATTTTATGTGTTTGCAGTTTTCCCTTTTGTGTGTGTGTGTGTGTGTGTCTGTGTGTGTGTGTGTGTGTGTGTGTGTGTGTGTGTGTGTGTGTGTGTGTGTGTGTGTGTGGACGTGTTTAACTATACTTTTGGGGACCAGAAGTCCCGACAAGAATAGTAAACGAACAAAAATCTGACCAACTGGGGACATTTTGTTAGTCCCCACAAGGTCAAATACTATTTAAATAATAAAATAAAATAATATGCCATTTAGCAGACACTTTTATCCAAAGCGACTTACAGTCATGCGTGCATACATATTTTGTGTATGGGCGGTCCCGGGGATCGAACCCACTACCTTGTTGTTACAAGCGCCGTGCTCTACCAGCTGAGCTTTCTAGGGGGTTTAGGGTTAAGGTTAGAATTAGTGTTAGAATTAGGGTTAGGGTTAGGAGCTAGGTTTAGGGTTAAGGTTAGGTTAGGTTTTTGGGTTAGGGTTAAGGTTAGGGTTAGGGTTAGGGTTAAGGTTAGGGTTAGGATAAGGGTACAGTACGGTATGGGTACGGCTACGGGTTAGGTTTGGGGTTAGGGGTTAGGGAAAATAGGATTTTGAATGGGACTGAATTGTATGTCCCCACAAGGTTAGCTGCGCAAGACTGTGTGTGTGTGTTTGTGTGTGTGTGTGTGTGTGTGTCTCATCTGTTGGAGTCATTAGATCTTCTCTTTGCTCTCATTTCTGTGGCATGTTCCTCCTTCCCCTTTCATTATATTTTCCCTTACTAGTACAGTCTCTCCTCTTATGTTGTTACTTTAATGTCTGGTATCTGTTCATAATAACTGCTAAATCAGACAAAGACCCCTCATTCCACTGTATTAAAAATACCAAAAGATTTTTGAGTGGATTTTTCCTTTAAGGCCCCCTACCACGCATACAGGCCTCAGGGTTGCCCCTGTGTGGTGACAGACGGGAAGTGCAGCCTCCCATAACAGCATGCAATGACGCTGCCACTAATAATTGTAAACAACCCCCTTCAAGCTCTGCAAAACTTTCTGTGAATGTGGAGAAACATTATTGTCACTAAGCAGGTACCCAGGAGGGTTGTTTGGCAGTGTGTGTGGCGGGGGGAAGGTTTGTGTGTGTGTATATGAGTGAGTGTGTTTGAGTGCACAACCGTTTATGTGTAAGCACGCGTGTGTGTTTACATGGGTGCAAGTGTGTGTGAGTATGTGTGTTATAGTGTGTGTGTGTGTGTGCGTGTCAACGGCAGACATTTTCTGGCTGTGTAGAACCTAGCAGATGTGCTCTGGGCTCCCTTGAGGATGTCTCGTCTCCTCTCTTCTCGTCTCTCCTCATCCAGCACACGCGCCCATACCCTCCAACGTTTATACGCTGCTGCTCTCTAGATAATAACTCTAGTTCCACCTGTATTCCCTTCTCCCACCGCCTGTCCCCTCAAGTTTCCTCTACTTTCCTCCTTATCCTGTCTTTCTATACCTCCTTGCTCTGTTTCTCTCTCTCTCTCTCTCTCACACCCCCACCCCTTCCTCTCTCTCTGACTTGCTGTCCTCCACCCCACCACCTCCTATAGTTCTGGTGTGTTGATATACCATCAAACTAGGCCAGGAAGGAAGTCACATGACGTGCCCACCATAAATCAGAAGTGAAGTCTCTTCCCCCTCCTGTAGGATCTCAGGTTTTATTTTTAGAGGAATAGGAATATTATTATTCAATTCATGATATCACTTTACTGAGGCTTGCCTCATTTTTCGCACATGACTTCCCTTTGCTAAGAGCGAGACGTAGAGACACGACAGGGAACAGAGGTGTGGATAATGGAAACCAAACTGCATTTGTGCTCTGTCAGTTTCTCCCTGTGTGTTTGTCTTTTACTGCATTGTGTGTGTGGCTGTGTGTGTATGTGTGTGGCTGGGTGTGTGTGGCTGGGTCTGTATGTGTGTTGGGAGGGGTGTATGTGTGCTTGGGCCTTTACCTGTGTCTCTGTGTGTGTACCACTTTGATGAAAGAGAAAGTAATCAACATCACACTGGTGCTGAACTCCCAATATGGTTCCAAAGGTGCTTGATTTGTGGACAATACTTCGATCTGCAATGCCATCAGGTCAAGACGTGTGTGTTTCTAACAGTATTGACTATGTATGTGTGTTCCTCTACAGAGGTGCTGGACAGCATGGCCAGGTTCCAGGCTCTAGGTGTGTGGAACTACACCATGGTGACCCTAGCTGAACACGAGAGGGTTCTATATGTAGGAGCTAGAGAGGCCCTGTTCGCCCTGGACCCTAATGACATCAGCAGACAGCTACGACCTCAGGTAACTACACACAGACAGACACATGCACACACACACACACACACACACACACACACACCTCAGCACAGCAGACACCAATGACAGCTACAACCTTAACCCCATAGACATGCTACACGAGTGCAGTCAATTTCTTGTGCAACATTCCTTCACTTTGTTGTATGGCAATACAGTTTTCTGATTCCGATGCCGTCTGTTCAGTAGTGAAGGGGGAAGAAGGTGATTACATGATTATAGGAATGTTAATCAGTGTAATTAGCCTCGTACAATAAAGGCTTGGTAAAACGTCTTAACATGCCTCTGTCCCTCTCATCTCATATCCCACTCAGACATATACCAGCACTATGGGGATTGTTATCTGATTCAACATTATAATGAGAATGAATTGGACTGTTGTGTGACTGATGATGAACATGCAACAGTTCTGTGTTGTGATCATCCCAGTAATTTGCAGCCCACCTGTTCACTGCTGCTCTGTCTACTGGGTGTAGAGGGATGATAGAGCCACTGGATGCCACCTGCCCCACTATGTCTTCACTCTGCACCTATCTCAACATCTGCCTTCTCCTCCCACTGTCCCTATATCCATCTCTCTCTATCTGTCTCTCTCTTTCTCTCTCATCCAACTCTATTTCTATCTGTTACTGTCGCCGTCGCTCTCTTCCACTCATCTCTCTCTCTCTCACTCACACATCCCTCTCTCTATTTCTCTCCCCTCCCTCTCTCTCTCCCTCTATTTCTCTCTCTCCCTCAGATTGAGTGGCCAGCACCACAGGAGAAGAAGAGAGAGTGTGCCACCAAGGGCAAGAACAACCAGGTACATATCCTAAAAATTTCTGTTTACATTTGAGTACCACCTTAGACTGAGTACCCCCTTAGACTGAGTACCCCCTTAGACTGTGTGAGTCGATGGTTATTGCTATAAATGGTTGAATAGTATGCTTCAGTCTCAGTCCCATCTTTCCCCCTCCCACAGACGGAGTGCTTCAACTACATCCGCTTCCTGCAGAGCTACAACCACACCCACCTCTACACCTGTGGAACCTATGCCTTCCAGCCCAAATGCACCTACATCGTGAGTGGCTTTCAATGGCCGGGCCCTGGTCAAAAGTAGTTTACTATAGAGGGGAAATGCTGCCATTTGGGACAAACAAGGCCAACTTCATCCCACTCCCTCTGTCAGGAGGTTTTATTAGAGTTGAGCTGTCCTTGTGGTGGCTTCACAGCTATCAGCACCACTGACAAGGTGTCATGTCTCGTATCTTCTATCTGACGCTTCCACACCACATCCTCCCTAAGGCTGAATCCTCTGTGTCAAAGGAAAGAATATCCAATGCCAACGAAGCCGTGGTATCTGGCTCTAAATGTGTTTGTAACGGTGATATGATAAGACAGTGTGGTGGATGCAGGGAGCGAGAACTGTGGTTCCTGTTACAAATGTTGTCACGGACAGACAGAGCCCGGAGCTGTGTTAGACTGACCACTGACCACTTGTGTCTATGCATGTGTCCACAGAATGCAGACCACTTTAGTCTCAACCCTGGCTCCCTTGAGGATGGGAAGGGCAAGTGTCCCTACGACCCAGCCAAGGGCCACACAGGCCTCATAGTGGGTAGGTCATCTATTCTGTTTTATTCTATTCTGTTTGATTCTATTCTATGTGTAAGTGTTCTCTAATTGTGCCTATCCTGCCTGTCTCTGTGTCTCCCAGACAAGGAGCTGTATTCAGCGACACTGAATAACTTCCTGGGCACTGAGCCTGTGATCCTGAGGAACCTGGGACAGCAACACTACAGCATGAAGAGTGAATACCTGCCGGCCTGGCTCAACGGTGAGAGAGAGAGAGAGAGAGAGAGAGAGAGAGAGAGATGAGAGAGAGAGGAGAGGAGAGAGAGAGAGAGAGAGAGGAGGAGAGGGAGAGAGAGAGAGGAGAGGAGAGGAGAGAGGAGAGAGAGAAGAGAGAGAGAGAGAGGAGGAGGAGAGAGAGAGAGGTGTCAGAGTCTATGGGAAAGAGTTGGAGATGAGAAATTAGATAAGAAAAGGAGAGGAGAGGGTTAGAGGCTAAAAGGAGCAGAGAAGCAGTGAGATGGAAAAAGCAGGTGAGAGGTGGAAAGATGAGGTTAGAGGAGTGGACAGGAGGGATACATGAGAGAAGAGGGGTTAGAGATAGATAAGGGAAGGTGAGAGGGTGTAAGATGAGATGAGGTTAGAAGGTTAAATAGTAGCGTATTTGAGAGGATGGGCGATTAGGGGGAGTGGAAGTGGCAGTGTGTGTGCACATGTGTGTGACTGTGCAGTCATACATGCGTGTTCATGTCTCGTGTGTGTGTGTTGTCCCCACAGAGCCTGACTTTGTGGGCTCGGCCCTGGTGAGGGAGAGCAGTGGCAGTAAGGAGGGGGACGATGACAAGATCTACTTCTTCTTCAGTGAGAGAGCTGTAGAGCTGGACTGTGACACAGAGCTCACTGTGGCCAGGGTGGCCCGCGTCTGCAAGGTAGGCTACACGCATACAGTACCAGTCAAAAGTTTGGACACACCTACTCATTCCAGGGTTTTTCTTTATTTTTTACTATTTTCTACATTGTAGAGTAATAGTGAAGACATCAAAACTATGAAATAACACATATGGAATCATGTAGTAACCAAAAAATTGTTAAACAAATCAAAATATATTTAATATTTGAGATTCTTCAAATAGCCACCCTTTGCCTTGATGACAGCTTTGTACCCTCTTGGCATTCTCTCAACCAGCTTCATGAGGTAGTCACCTGGAATGCATTTCAAATAACAGGTGTGCCTTGTTAAAAGTTAATTTGTGGAATTCCCTCCCTTCTTAATGTGTTTGAGCCAATCAGTTGTGTTGTGACAAGGTAGGGATGGTATACAGAAGATAGCCCTATTTGGTAAAAGACCAAGTCCATATTATGGCAAGAACAGCTCAAATAAGCAAAGAGAAACGACAGTCCATCATTACTTTAAGAACTTTAAAAGTTTCAAGTGCAGTCGCAAAAACCATCAAGCGCTATGATGAAACTGGCTCTCATGAGGACCGCCACAGGACTGGAAGACCCAGAGTTACCTCTGCTACAGAGGATAAGTTAATTAGAGTTAACTGCACCTCAGATTGCAGCCCAAATAAATGCTTCACAGAGTTCAAGTAACAGACACATCTCAACATCAACTGTTCAGAGGAGACTGCATGAATCAGGCCTTCATGGTCGAATTGCTGCAAAGAAACCACTACTAAAGGACATCAATAAGAAGAAGAGACTTGCTTGGGCCAAGAAACACAAGCAATGGACATTAGACCGGTGGAAATCTGTCCTTTGGTCTGATGAGTCCAAATTTGAGATTTCTGGTTCCAACCGCTGTGTCTTTGTGAGACGCAGAGTAGGTGAACGGATGATCTCTGCATGTGTGGTTCCCACCGTGAAGCATGGAGGAGGAGGTGTGATGGTGTGGGGGTGCTTTGCTGGTGACACTGTCAGTGATTTATTTAGAATTCAAGGCACACTTAACCAGAATGGCTACCACAGCATTCTGGTTTGCGCTTAGTGGGACTATCATTTGTTTTCAACAGGACAATGACCCAAAACACACCTCCAGGCTCTGTAAGGGCTATTTGACCAAGAAGGAGAGTGATGGAGTGCTGCATCAGATGACCTGGCCTCCACAATCACCTGACCTCAACCCAATTGAGATGGTTTGGGATGAGTTGGACCGCAGAGTGAAGGAAAAGCAGCCAACAAGTGCTCAGCATATGTGGGAACTCCTTCAAGACGGTTGGAAAAGCATTCCTCATGAAGCTGGTTGAGAGAATGCCAAGAGTGTGCAATGCTGTCATCAAGGCAATGGGTGGCTACTTTAAAGAATATAAAATGTAAAATATATTTTGATTTGTTTAACACTTTTTTGGTTACTACATGATTCCATATGTGTTATTTCATAGTTGTGATGTCTTCACTATTATTCTACAATGTAGAAAATAGTAAAAATAAAGAAAAACCCTTGAATGAGTAGGTGTGTCCAAACTTTTGACTGGTACTGTACATGGCTACACACACACACTCTCACATACACACACACATACACACACTGCCACCGGAACACACACACAAGCACACCACTCAATCCTACTCTGGGTAGTGGTAGGTAACTGCTCACTTACTTTTTACACTGAGACACAAACACTTCCAACTCTCGTTTCACTCTTTCTTTACAGTCACTACCCTCACCCAGTTCTATCCTTATTAGGTATCAATAGTTATCAGGAGAAGTTACGAGTTATGAGCTCAGAGTTTGCCATCCACTATGATTACATCATACAACCCGTTGTTTTTCCTGGTGAGGTCAAAGGAGTCTGGATAAACCCTTGCCCGTAGACTACCTCTCCTAACTCTTCCTCTGTCTCTTCACAAGTCTATCTGACCCTGTTCATCAGTGTGATCACTTTCTCTCCTTTACAATCACTCTTCTCACCCAATTCCATCCTACAATGGTATCAAAAACCATCAGCAAATATTCTGGAAGTGAACTGATTTTCCCATCCACACTGGCAATATGCCACCTCTCCTGATTCCTGTCACCTGACTGACTCTTGTGTGTCTCTCCCTTCAGGGTGATCTGGGGGGCACCAGGACCCTGCAGAAGAAGTGGACCACCTTCCAGAAGGCCAGGCTGGTGTGTTCTCTCCCCGAGCGACACGTCACTTTCAACAACTTGCGGGCAGTCTTCACCCTGCCCGGCCCTGATTGGCGCACCACCACCTTCTATGGCATCTTCCACGCCCAGTGGTGAGTCACAATAACACTACCGCCAGGGGGTTCGATGTGCCAAAGAGAATAGGCTCTCTCTCTCCAACTTAGCACTTTTACTAACACTGGGTTGGTGTGAATTCTTATTCTACAGTATCTAAACTTTTCCAATGCTTTTGAAAATATTATATTATGCCCAGAATTACAGTTTTACTAGCCTTGAGTCAGCTAACGTGTCTTCTCTGTGTATAGACCTTTTGAATTATGTTATTATCTCCTAGTAAAGCACAACCATCATTATATATCTTCATATCCTATTTCATACAAACAGACAATGTAAAATGACTACAGAAATAACACTTTTGCTAATAATCTTAAGCCCATCGTTTTGCTGTTCTCTCCCGTCCCAGGGGTGATGTGGATGTGTCAGCGGTGTGTCAGTACCAGATAGGGGAGGTGAAGAAGGTGTTTGACGGCCCTTATAAGGAGTACAGAGACGCGTCCCAGAGATGGGGTCGATACACTGGCACTGTCCCCAGCCCACGGCCCGGAGCGGTGAGTGATGGAGGGAGGGAGGGTGAGGCGGGGGGGTAGAGAAAAAGAGAGTGAGCGGGGAGAGAGAGGGAGGGATGCGGAGGAATAGAGTGACTTGGACAGGGAGAGTCTGGAGAGTGATCAGAGCCAACAAGCAATGCCAGTCTGTCCCGCAACTAACAATGTTCCTTGTTTCTTCCCCCCTCTCTCTCTCTCTCTCTCTCTCTCTCTCTCTCTCGCTCTCATCCCTCTGTTCTCTCCTCTCTGTCTTGCCTCTCCTTTCTTCTTCACGGTGCAGTGCATTACAAGCTGGCACAGGGAGAATGGCTACAACAGCTCTCTTCAGCTGCCAGACGCCACCCTCAACTTTGCCAAGAAGCACCCTCTGATGGAGGAGAAGGCACAGGCTCGCCCCCTACTGCTCACCAAGGGTATCAACTTCACCCGCCTGGCAGTGGACCGGGTCAGCGCCCTGGACACACGGGCATACAACATGCTCTTCTTAGGCACAGGTAACTATTGACAGGACATACAATATGGGCTAAGAATCTACCCACTGAAGATGGTCGAGTTAGAAGTTGCCGCAGATTCAGAATATTTCTTACCTTACCCCCATTCCTAAGCTTAACCACAATGGGGGAAACACAAAACTGACTGAAATCAGTGTACTGTTTAAGAACTTCCCATACGCAACATAAAAGTATAGGACCAAGACAGGTCCCAGATTAACCCATATGCCCACTAAAGATGCCCTGAACCACAGATGTAGGATCAGTTTACTTTACGCCCAATCCCAAGAAAACGCTCAAGAAGACCCACAGTTTGCCTGAGATCAGTGTTCAGGTGGTTTCAGAACTTCATCCTACTCCCATAAGATTGTCTTACGTCAGATAGCACGACGACTCCAGCTACATGGCCAGTTGAAGACTGCATGTGGCGTAGGAAGGACAATGCCTGTCTGGAGACAATGACTTTCATAAATAACATACAGTACATCCAACTACAGTAGCTGCTTCCCATTAAGTAGCCTACTACTTATAATTCCACTCACTGCAGTGCAGTGTAGAGTGAATCCCTGACTGTGCCTGCGGTGTGTTGGAGGCCCATGACTGTCAGAGAGACGATGGGCTCAGTAGTTTGGCAGGCCCCCTGCTGCCTTGCTTCACAGCACAAACTCAACGGGGCCCTTGGCACACGTACACACTGCCAATTGGGCTGCAGGCTTGATTAGCTATTAACTGCAGGAGGATGACAGCTGATGCGGAGAGAACGGGTCTGGCGAGGGCGGTTAGAAATGGAGGATGGGATTGGGGGATTAGCCGAAATGCTCTCGACACAGCGAGAGAGGAGCATGATACGTCATGCATGATACAGCATTTACGTGTTTGTGTGTGTGAGTGTTTGTTTGTACTTGTGTGTGTATGTGTGTGTTGCTGCTCTGCTTTGTGCCAGGCTCCCGTCTGGTCCAGGGTCAGTCCCTCACATTATCCGTGACAGTTCCACTGTGGTGAGGGCAGGAGGCAGGGCAGGCTCAGCACACACAGCAGATCTCTGCTCATAAAAGCACCATAAACACAGACAAACATACAATGTCACACCGCCGGCAGCAGCAGCTCAATCGCCATTCAAAGCAGGGGATGTAATCTTGATCACAATATTACCCAAAGAGTAAACTACAGTACAATATTCTGAAATGATATTCATCTCTCTCTTCTCATCCTACATACTGCTTTCCTCTTTATTCCCTCTTCTCTTTTCCTTCCTCTATCTTTCTTCCTCTCCTCTCGTCCTACTCTCTTTTCTCTCTCCTCTACCAATGCCTCCTCATCCTCTCCTCCCCTCTTTCCTCTCCTATTTTGCTCCCCCTCTCCTCTTCTCCTCTAGCGGATGGCTGGTTACAGAGGGTAGTGATCCTCGGCTCTGAGGCCCATGTGATTGAAGAGATACAGCTGTTTGATTCTCCCCAGCCAGTGGACAGCCTGACCATCTCTCACACCAAGGTAACAATCAACACTAAGTCTAGGAGTTTTCCCCAGCTCTACACATAGACCAACAAGGTGTACTTGTTCATCAAGCTGCCTCACACTACAGAAACAGGAGGTTGGCTCCTGCCCTATGGGGCCGTTCTGAGTTTACTTACACATAGACCATCACTGGACCAAGAGTATGCCCTGATCATGTGACCCAACTAGGAAAGACTCCGGGCCCTACTCATCACCATTGTCTGAATGTCACCACTCTGTTTCACTGACATTACACTCACATACTGATCCTTATCTAATTAAACCAGGCTTTTCCTGGCCAGCTATTTCATAACAAGCTTTGCTCTCTAGCCAAACATAGAAAGAAGAGGGTAGGGAAAACAAAATGTTATTGTAATTGAGAGTGATTATCCCATTATCTTTATCTCCGCTGCCCTCTGTCTGACTTGTTCTTTTTCTGTTTCTCCCATCCTCCCCTCCTATCTCTATCTCCTCCCTTTCTCTTTTTCCCCTCTTTCTCTCTCTCTCTCTCTCTCTCTCTCTCTCTCAACCCCCCTCTCTCTCTCCCTCTCTGTCTGCCTATGTCTGCAGAAGTACTTGTACATTGGCTCACGTTCAGAAGTGCTCCAGCTTCCCTTGGCTAACTGCAGCCGCTATCAGTCGCAGCCAGACTGCCTTCTGTCCCGGGACCCCTACTGTGCCTGGGACAGTGAGGGTCGCGCCTGTGTCCGCATCGACCTCCACCGCGGGTGAGCATGTCTGCCTCTCCCCTCCACTCCCCCTCTGCCCCTTTTTAGTGGTTCTGCCTCCCCCTCTTCTACCTGCCCCCTTCTCTCCTCTGTCCCTGCTCAGTGGGCTGGGTCTACCTGTGCTTGCTCAGTGGGCTGGGTCTACCTGTGCTAGCAGCAGCTTAGTGGAGGCCAGTAGCAGAAGGTGGAGGCCAGTAGCAGTTATTAATGCCTGTTCTCTGTGCTCTCTGTTTCCACAGGTCTACCTCCTCCCTATCCCAGGATCTGATGCTGGAGAGATTCAGCAGGGGCAAAGCCAAGTTTGACAAGCCAGTGGCCATCCCCAGCCCTGGTAAGTGGGAGAGAAACTGGACTGGTGGCCCCTTGTGGCAATAGCTGATCACTACAGTTGTAGTTATTTTTGATAGGTATTGAATGGATTTGAAAGGGAAGGGGAAAGGGGGATACCTAGTCAGTTGTACAACTGATTGCATTCAACTGAAATGTGTCTTCCTCATTTAACCCAACCCCTCTGAATCAGAGAGGTGCGGGGGGCTGCCTTAATTGACATCCACGACATCGGCGCCCGGGGAACAGTGGGTTAACTGCCTTGCTCAGGGACGACAGATGTTTACCTTGTCAGCTCGGGGATTCAATCCAGCAACCTTTCGGTTACTGGACCAACGCTCCTACCCGCCAGGCTACCTGCCGCGAGCTTAGAATTTAGTAATTGAATCAAGTTTAATTGAGTTCAGTTGAACTAAGTGAATTGAACTGAATTGAGATGAGTTGAATTTAGAGTTCAGGAATTAAACTTATTGGCTAACACATACCCTCTCTCTCTCCCAGACAACTCTCGACTGAGGAATGTGACAGTAGTGGTGGAATCAGACATGGTGCTGCCCTGCCAGCTGGTGTCCAACCTGGCCCAGCCCTCCTGGCTCCTCAACGACCGGGAGCTGCAGCTAGGAGACGAGGAGGCCGGGGGGCCACGCTTCGACCGGGCCCTGAAGGCTCTGGTGGTCCCCAACGTGATGCCGGTGCACGCAGGACGCTACGTGTGCTACTCGGAGGAGCAGGGGGTCAAGTTTCAGACAGAGCGCTACCAGGTGTCGGTGGTGGCCAGTTCTCCTGTGGTCATGGCGGCCCGGGCCCCTGACGGCAGCATGGGTCTGTTCTGGGTGATGGTTATCACCCTGGGGGCCGCCTGTCTACTACTACTGGTGGTAGCTTTGTATCTGAGGAGGCGTCTGAAGCTGGCCCTAGGTAAAGGAGCGGACATGAAGCCCCTGGAAAGCACCCTGGTCTACCCCATCACCCTGCCCAAGGAGCCACCCACCTTCGTGCCCAGCAAGATGCCCAGCGACGAGGACCGCTTCTGGGAGACGGGCGCCAACTACTACTACTCAGACGGCTCGCTGAAAATCGTTCCCGGCCACGCCCTGTGCCCCAGCAGCCAGTCTCACCACCACGCCCCCACGGCGTCTCCCAGCGCCATCCCCGGCCAGCCCATCCACTCCCCCAGCCGGCTCAGCCTCACCAACATCAGGGGCTCTGGCAGCAACGGCTACATCCGCCTCAACCTGAGCTCGGCCGGGGAGGATAGGGTTAGCGGGGGTGGTTCTGGTGGAGGAGGGCTGGGGCTGGGGCTGAGCGGGGGCGGGAACGACTATTCCAGCCCTTTCAAGGAGGAGCTGCGTCGGACCCTGCAGCAGAGGAGCGTGCTGCCTGATGCCAACCCTGAAGAGTCGTCTGTGTAGCAGCAGTTGTCTTTCTCCGCGCCCGTTGTAATGAAAAAAAATTATAATAATTGACAACGAACGGCAACTAACCTACCTCCCTCTTTAGAGGACGCCTTTCTCTCTCGACTCCACTCTCACTCCATGCTCTCTCTCTATTTTTCTGCCAATGCTCGTTTGGCTGACTCTGTGACTGGTGGCAGATGTTTTTTTGCACACAGCATGTAATGTGACACACACCGACCGTTCCTCAGCATCCGCTCCTGTTATTGCCACACTGACTGTCACTCTTTACCTTCTTAACCAGTTTAACTTGCTTAAACTGTGCAAATCTCAAGCTGTGTAAATTCGGTATTTAAAGACAATTGAACGCAGAGGGCCTACACCTCAAGCATAGCAGTCAAACAAACTGAGAGGTTTCCTGAGAGCACTCCTTCATGATAAGAGACGTCCAAGAACTCATGACAAGGTTATAGCTTCAGGGCTAAACCAATAAAGCAAGCAGCACGAGTTGACTGACTGAAAGATGGAGGAGCTGGCTTGCCTTTTTTCTGTTCTGTTGAGGACTTTTTCGCTTGCTGCACTTAACATGGGAGTAAGAAAGTCGATTTTGTATTTGTGAGCAAAGAGAGTGAGAGAGTCACATAAAAGACAAATTAATCCCAAAAGCATGACGACAATCACGTTCCTCTCTCAGGGGGTAAAACCTGGGAAGGAAAAGTGGGATAAAGAGAGAGTTAATGAAGTGAGTTTTGTTTGAAAGACATGGGGGGGTTTACATGAAGGACAAACTCTTAATTAGACTTTCTCGGCTCAATTTGTACTTTTTTCACGTTGTCAGTCTTTCCTCTGAGAAAGTCTTCAACCCCTGCCACATTGATATATTGTGACAATTTAAATTAAGACATTTCTGTGTGTTCTTTTTCTATGTCTTATGGACTACGGAAGCGACAAATGGAGACCAATGGCTTTAAAGCGGCCCTCTGTGAATGAGAATGTGATGGAAGCATGTACAAACTTCTCCTATCCCTGCACAAAGTAGATATCTTCCCAAATAACCTCCACACTAGTAAATACATTTTAGCACTAGTTTTACAATAACTACACTACACATTTATACAAGTGGTTGATGGGAATTTAAACCCATTCTGATACTTATACACTTCCTTGTGATGTGGTTATGGAAATTTCTGTTTGACATAATCCCACAACAGAACCTACAACAGCACACTCACTTATTATTCAGTATTTCAAATGAGACAAAGGCATTGTTTTCAGCCATGTAGTAGGGATGGCATGGGGGAATGTAGGTAAACTCTCACTAAACTGTTGCGACTGCAGTGGATGTCTCAACAAGTGCTTTATATCATATTTTTGTGTATGAGCGGGGGTGGTGGCGAGTTGAACTGCCAAAAGGACCTCCCTCCCCTGCACCGCCCTGAATGCCAAACCTGGTGGATGTCGTAGTGTGTCCTGGAGGGGACGGAGCCACAGCACTGTACCTGGACACACCCTTTAACCACTTATTTCCCTAAACCCCACCCACCTACCTACTGACGTCCAGAGAATGATCTGTTACCACTGTGGAAAGCCTGAACACAGAGAGAAGGATGGACACTCAACTGTAAACACACACTGCCTGTGCTGTTGGAGGGACAAGCAGACAACAGATGGAAGATAGATTAATGGCCTGTGACAAACCAATGGCTCCAGAGAGCAATCAGAGGCACATCAATCAGAGGTATGGCTCTCTCTCTCTAAAAGCCTACAGACACACAAAGATTCTAGCCAGGCCCAAGATCTGTTTGTGCTGTCATGCCAACTCCTAGGTAATTGTTATGGCTTGGCGTGAACAAATCTGGAACTGGCCTAAGAGACACCCAAAGACCTAGCCAGAAAAATAACAGTCACGATCAAGAGTTTTACAGCTTTTGAGATTAAACATAGTAATTGTATTATGCTGCATCATCCTGACTCTCATGGAAGTGGCCTTGCATATACAACTTTGTGTGCCCACTCTAACATGTTCGTTTTTCCCTTCCTGTGCTTTGTCTTCCAGGGGTGGCTTTGTGACACATCTGCAGGGACCAGAGAACAACACAATACAAAGAAAGGAACAAGAGGATGACAACGTTTCTTTCTTTCTCTCCACAATGTAGACTAGAGACAGCTGAAGGGGATGTAGAATATTGCAATGATCCCTGGGTTGAAGAGGTACTTACTTACTTGGCCATCAGTGGTTAGTTCATCCTAGTGTTGCATGACCTTCTCTGCAAATGTACTGTACACATCTCCGATAACATGATCATAATTGTAAAAGAAGTGTATCATGTTTCAAACTTTTGCCGACCCTAATGTTCTCTAGAAAAAAAAAATATATGGTTAGAGTTGTTAAGGACTTCTTCATGAATACATCTTCTTAACATGTTTTATTTAGCCATGCCTTTTCACCTTCGGATAAGCCAAAGTAGACTGCAGTTGCTTTTTTAAAAACATTATTATTTAATATTATTTTATTATTCCACTTTGATATTTAAGTTTCAACAGTCCGTCCAACTTACTTCAAATAACTCTCATGTCTGGAACTTTCCTGCATATTTAATTTAGAGCTTAATTTTTTTCAGAAGGCAAAATGTTTGTGGCTGGTCAACATCCTGTTTACATGTCAGTAGTAATCTACTGAAGCTTATCCCTGATTCCCTAGCACATGAAAAGGTAAACAAATCACCAAAACTTTGAACGTCATAGAACCAACCAAGCACAGCAACCTCCTTAAAACCAAATGATAACTCATGATTTCATGATCTAAGGTTTGATACTAAATCTTAAATATTTATACATGCCTTTAATTTGAAGATATGTAAGATTTAAAATGTTACCAAGCACTGGTTCAGACACTTAACCATCTATTACGGATTAACAGCTACAGGAGCTGTTAAGATTGGTATAGATATTTATCTGATTTGTCTTACAATAATTTATTTCATTTCTTCCTTGGACATTATGTCTGATAAATCATAAAACTGTCTTAGAATAAGGTTATCCATCAAACTCACAAAAGGGATGTTAGGCTAAAGCTACGAAAATAAATGTTTGCATGTGTGACCTGTGTGTAACAATTCTGGATCTACATAGGCTAGTTATTACACTATGCCTGTCAAAAACAATGCCTTCCACAGTCTTCTCAAGGATTTTGATTCTTCTGTTATTCAATATTATTATTATTATTATATTACCATTATTATTCATTTCTTCCTTTTTGGCTTTAAGTTGCAACGGTTCCTCTGCATGTTTGTTCACAATCTTTTGTTTGTTTTTTAAAGGATGTTAAGTAACTTATTTCGGTTGTACAAACATGTCGATATTTATTATCATTGTACATATGTCCTTATTTTTTATATGTGTATATATATACATGAATAAAAGTAGAGATCTACTCAAATTGTGTATGTGTGTGCTGGTGGTTCATGCAAATGAATATCATCAAACCAAGAGTATGGGTATAAGCATAAACATCTCTGTTATACAACATTCAAGGGTACAACATTATACAAATTAAAATCTGAGTGTGCTTCAACTCATTAGTGAGATATCAGCCTGAGCATTCAGTGCATTAGAGGCAGAATCTGCAAAGGATGTAGTCGTATACTCTCACTAATTGAAACAAGTAGCTATGGGAAGTGCTTTACCAGCGGTAAAATATAATTAACAGGAAACAAACATCACACACATATTATGTAAGAACTCAAGTACGATACCTCATTAAAGATTCGTCTTTATCGCACAGGGGAATTATAATGATGATATAAGGGCTTCATAAAGAAGCAGAGACTATTTGTAACATCTCAAAGGAGGCCGACTGGCCCTGTCCTTTTGGAGTCCTTTTTGAACATTTTATTCTATTAGGCCTGATATTAGACCCAAGCCTATTATTATAATATTGTATTTAGCCTCTGTCACAGACTTGAACCTCACCTTGAGCAAAGGCAATATTATATTAGGCCTGATTCTATTTTATTAGGCCTAATATAAGGCCTATTCATCTATTGTATTAGGCCTATTCTTTCTCCAGTTTCAAGGCCTGCATTACCATGTCTAGCGTTAATCCGGTCTCCTCTTCCCTGTTCACGTTGTGCCTGCTGCTTGCCTGTACACCTGGTGCTAGCAAGGCCACATGCTCTCAGTGTGCCAGACAGATAGACCCAGCTGTGGGGAGGGGTGGGAGTGTGATGTCACGGTGTACACAGCTGGGCCACAGAGAACTGCTTTAATCTCCTCTTTATAGGTCACCAACCATGGCTATGTCATCTCATCACACTCACAGGCAACAGAGAGAGAGAGTGAAAGAGAGAGAGAGAAGGAGGAACAGGAAGGAGGTAGACCGTGGGTGTACTGTATATGGAGCGTCAGAGGGACATTTACATTTTAGTCATTTAGCAGATGCTCTTATCCAGAGCGACTTACAGTTAGTGAGTGCATACATACTGGTCCCCTGTGGGAATCGAACCCACAACCCTGGTGTTGCAAGCGCCATGCTCTACCAACTGAGCTACAGCAGGATAGTAGAGAGGAAGGACATAGTAGGCCTGCATCGTTTTTTCTGAAGAGATTTTCTTCAACCCTGGATCAACGTCCTTGGTCTTGGATTCAGACAAATACTACAGAGCTACACTCTTAGAAAAAAGGTTCTCCAAAAGGGTTATTCGGCTGTCCCCATAGGAAGAACCCTTTTTGGTTCCATGGAGAATCCTTTTTGGTTCCACGTAGAACCCTCTTGGGTTCCATGTAGAACTCTCTGTGGAAAGGATCCTAAATGGAACCTAAAAAAGGGTTCTACCTGGAACCAAAAATGTTTCTTCAAAGGGTTCTCCTATGGGGATAGCCGAAGAACAATTTTAAGTTCTAGATTGCACCTTTTTTTCTAAGAGTTTAGGCACACAAACTCTCCCCTCCCTGTTTGGCGGTAAATAAAGATGCTTGTGAGGAGACTGCAACCTGTCTGGCTGACAGATTGGATGTTGGAGGCAATTATCAGGTCAATTGTCAACGAGGGGGAAAAACTGTGTTTGTATGAGTAGCAGCAGCAGACGAGTCCGAGTAGGGGCCTACCAACCAGAGTAGCCCAAAGGCCGTCTGACGGACTTTGGGCTACTACCAGAGGGTTCAATTAATCTAACCAATCCAGCAGTTTTTTATGGAGGACTAAAAGTGCCACAATTAAATAAATAAATACACCATTAAATAATTACTTAAATGTGTCATTAATTAATTAAAATTAGAATTAAATACATAAATGTGTTATTAAATGTATCATTAATTAATTCAAATACCGATTCATTTTATGTAAAATACATATATAATTATTTCACTATTTACATTTACATTTCATGATCCTGCATTGCAGTGATTCATGAATTACTTAAAACTGTCAAACTGACCCATCAAAGTCAGTGGGCGGGGCTAACGCGAATCTAGTCTGATCCATTGCTTTGGTCTGAAGTAGAGTAGGCCAACCTGGATAGAGACAATGGAGGATCTCCGTGAACTTTCCAGGGAGTTGGTTAGAGACATTTTAAACTTAGCAGAGGATGTAGAAGCAGGACCTGCTGACATTATCCGGAATTGATTTGTCTTGGCTTGATGCAGAGGGTAACCAATCAGGCGTTAGGTTCCGCCTACCAACTTTTGATGGGTCAGTTTGACAGTTTTAAGTAATTCAGGAAGCACTCCAACGCAGGACCATGAAATGTAAATGTAAATAGTGAAATTATTATATATGTATTTTACATAAAATGAATCGGTATTTGAATTAATTAATGACACATTTAATAACACATTTATGTATTTAATTCTAATTTTAATTAATTAATGACACATTTAAGTAATTATTTAATGGTGTATTTATTTATTTAATTGTGGCACTTTTAGTCCTCCATAGTTTTTATCACAATTTCTTTAAAAGTTAAAGTTATTTTTTAAAGTTATTTTAAGGCTATGTGAGACTAAGTTTTAATACAAAGAAGAGCTTTGATTTGTTTTTGGGAAGAAGTTGGGAAACTTGGGAATGGATGAGCTGTTCCTACTTCCTACATCAGTCCGTAAGGATAAATATTATCGACAAAGACAATTTAGATAGAAAACTACGTTATATTCGCCTCTTCCTCTTTGCTAGTATAGGAACACATTTTGGAGCACTAAAACAGATGTGATTCATTGGATATTCTAGAGACACGTGACATTTGCTTTCACATTCATTGGCCAGTTCGTATGAAATTAGATGATTTTGTAGACATACGAAATAGTCCCCAAATGTCCATAACTATCGATTTATCTCAGTATTTTGATATGTTTTAATGAAAATGTTTTTGAATTTGGTTTTGAGTTTGTTCAACGTACATGTAATGATTTTGTTGGACATTTTAACGTTAACCAACATTTGTTTAGGTCGCGGAATGATCTTCGTGCCACAGCTACTGTGAGTGGTGCGAAATTTGAAAATTACACTAGTGGGACTAGCTAGCAAGCATGTTAGCTGTCAGCTAGCTGGAAAACGTTTTTTCTCGTAGTCATTTAGCTGGTATGTTTAGCAAGGTCTAGTTGAATTCATAAGGGTGGATATTGTAGCGTTAATAAAAACATTCGTATTAAGGTAAGATGTTGTCGATTAAGTGAATGTTAGCTTACGTTAACTGGCCAACAAGCTAACGTTAGCCAGTTTGTAACGTAGGTAACAGTTAAATGTGAACGTGTAGTTAACTCCAGAGTTGGTTTATAAAGGTTTTAAGTGGCTTTGTAAACTTTGTTTTAATTTGTTTATCAATAACTTGCAAGCCACAAATGCCTGTCGCATAATAAACCACTTGTTTCAGTGTGTGATCATCAGTCGTTGCTTGTTTTGTCAGCCTTGCCTTCCTTGAATGCGTTATCGATCCAATTTGATCGACTGTTAAGAGCATTTGGGTGATCTCTAATTTAGGTGACAGACCCCACTGAAGTCGCTTGGAATCCTTTCTGTTGTAGCTAGGTAAGTTATATCATGGCCAGTTCAGAGCTGAAAATGGACAGCGTTGATGGAACTGAAAACTTGAATCAACTGGAGGCCCCTTGTCCTTCTCCGCTGAGCATCACAACACCCTTGGATTTCTCCCAGCTCACACCCTCCCAACCGGATATCTCCCTCCAGAGCTTCACTCCATCTTCTAACGTCAAAGGTAATTCAGACATTGAAGAAGTTAGCCAATTCTGTTTATCATTCCACTGGGTCCACTGCTCTCTCTGACGTTACCCTGTAGCTAATCAACTCATTATTATAACCCGAAACACACATTTTCCTAGGCAATGTAACGTTATATGTTATAGGTCTACACAGTGTTTTGTCAAGATATGCAATAAAATGTTAGTTTTCTGAACCAATAAATGGTGCTTCTATTGTCTTTCCCCAGAAAAATCTCGCCTGGCTCAGCTGAAGGCAAAGCGGAGGTCGAATGTTGGTGTACGGGGTTCACCAGAGACCAACTCCCTTATCTGCTACATAGCCCAACAGAGGATGAAAACTCCCCCCACAACCACACAGGTGAGATGTTTGCTCATGCATGATCATACTCAAAGATTGTGCATAAAAAATACTGTAGGTAGTGTATTGCAGATAAAAGTTGCTCTAGGACTGCTTGTGTTAATCTGAGTTGGAGCTAGCAATGCTCCTAGCCTAGCCAGAGCCAATTCAGGCCTATAAACTGTCTCTCTTGCTACAATGTATCTGTCATTTGTCAAACAGCTTGGTTTGAAACAATGAATTAGAAACAATGTGTTTACCATGACTTTCTCTTTATCTCTTCATAGCCTACCCAAACCAGCTCCTTCTTTCCAAGAGTCCCCTCTACTCTAAAGCAGAAGATGGCTATTTTCCAGAGCATTATGGCTGTGGAGGAGAATGAGAATGAAACGGTGCCAAAACAGAACAATGGGGGATGCATCAAGACAAGAGATTTTCTGTCTAGTGGTGAGTCTGCTTCAGTGACAAAGGATAAATCATTTATTAATCACTTATTACGTGAACTGAAATTGGTGCTTTGTCGGAGTATACTATTTCAAAGTTTTCAACTAGTTAGAATTTGAGGGAAATGTTGAAGTTTTAATATATTTGTTATACTTCTTTGAGGGCATGGAGAAACATCCAGATACTACATATTGCCCCTTATCTTCTATAAGGGTTTTCTATTCTGGGCTGTAGTTGTTGATGGGTGTTGTCGTAACTCTCAGATGGGTGGAGCTGTGATGATGGCAGTTGTGGGAAGGAGAACAAGACCCCAGTGAGCCAGCCTCCCTCTCTGACTCCACCACCCAGTAAGAGGCGCTACACAGCAGGCCCCAAGGGGTACTGTGTGGAGGAGATTGGCGAGGCCAACACTCCTGTCCTCAAATGCACCAGCACCATACTGAAGCAGCAACAAAACAAGGAGGTAACCTCATCACACACTCACCAAACATTTCTCTGTCCATTTAATGGTAAATATAACTTGGCCAACCATTCAGAATCTGTTGGTGTGTGTTTTGTGATTTTGGCTTGTACATGTTGATCAACTGGTAAGAAATATTGAAAAGTGCTTATTAAACTAAATGTATTATTATTAACCATTTATACTGTGACCACAATGTTCTGACATCCACTAACCCACCATGACCCCCTACCCCAGGTTGCAGTTGTCCAGAACAAGGACCATCATCCAGCTCTCACTCTAACACCCGGAGCACAGACACAGTCCCAGAATGACACTGAGTTCTGTGGTGAGGTAGAACACGCTAGTGTGTCCCTGCCACCAACCCTGCATACTAATGCTGTGTCCCAGATCACACAGGATGAGCCCCAGTCCTCTCCTCTAAAGCAGATTTGTACTCCCACCAAGGAGGAGCAGGACCAGGTAAGATATAACCAGGCTTCATCTACACACACCAAGCTGTGTCCCAAATGGCACCTTATTCCCTATATAGTGCCATTTGGGACACAACCCAACACCCCAGCCTCCTCTCCTCTGTCTGTGAAGTCTTCACAGCTCTGCAGAGCACACAACTTCTATTCTCACCCCATGTTCCTGCCTGGCTCTCAAACATTATGTTTGGTTCCGTCTCACTCCATAGGAGTGCTCCTTTGAACTCCACAGCCCCAGCCAACTTCTGGTTGTGCATTCAGGACCAGACAGGACAACTCGGCCCCCGCAGTTCACCATGCCATCTCTTCTGGAGATGAATCCCACAGGTAAATACAGTATACAGTGCCTTGCAAAAGTATTCATCCCCTTTGGCGTTTTTCCTATTTAGTTGCATTACAACCTGTAATTTAAATGGATTTTTATTTGGATTTCATGTAATGGACATACACAAAATAGTCCAAATTGGTGAAGTGAAATGAAAAAAATAACTTGTTTCAAATAATTCTAAAAAATAAATAACGGAAAAGTGGTGCGTGCATATGTATTCACCCCCTTTGCTATGAAGCCCCTAAATAAGATCTGGTGCAACCAATTACCTTCAAAGTCACATAATTAGTTAAATAAAGACCACCTGTGTGCAATCTAAGTGTCACATGATCTCAGTGTATATATACACCTGTTCTGAAAGCCCCCAGAGTCTGCAACACCACTAAGCAAGGGGCACCACCAAGCAAGTGGCATCATGAAGACCAAGGAGCTCTCCAAACAGGTCAGGGACAAAGTTGTGGAGAAGTACAGATCAGGGTTGGGTTATAAAAAAATATCTGAAACTTTGAACATCCCACGGAGCACCATTTTAAATCCATTATTAAAAAATTTAAAGAATATGGCACCACAACCAGGTCGCAGTTGTAAATGAGAACTTGTTCTCAACTGGCTTACCTGGTTAAATAAAGGTGAAATAAATAAATAAAATTTAAAAAAACTGCCAAGAGAGGGCCACCCACCAAAACTCACAGACCAGGCAAGGAGGGCATTAATCAGAGAGGCAACAAAGAGACCAAAGATAACCCTGAAGGAGCTGCAAAGCTCCACAGTGGAGATTAGAGTATTTGTCCATAGGACCTCTTTTAGCCGTACACTCCACAGAGCTGGGCTTTACGGAAGAGTGGCCAGAAAAAGCCATTACTTAAAGAAAACAATAAGCAAACACTTTTGGTGTTCGCCAAAAGGCATGTGGGAGACTCCCCAAACATATGGAAGAATCGATACGGTTGCATATCGGGATATTATTTTTGACGATCAATTATTTTGACAATATCGCAGTATTCTTTATTTTTGGCGCTAGTTGGTTGTACCTGCACCAAAACTCTAGTATTTTTCCTTCATAGCTTGTGCTCAATCTTTTTTTAAATAGAGAGCCAATTCATTTTTCAGCACTTTTATTTCCATGACTAATCAAAACTAGTTTTATTAGGCTCTATTGTCCCTCTGCAGCAGACATATGGTAAGCAATATGTTTGTAATATAGAATTGCAATAAAATCACAGTATCAAATCACAATACTGTAGAATCGTGAGAATCGCAATACATATCATATCGGCACCTACGTATCATGATAATATCGTGAGGTCCCTGGCAATTCCCAGCCCTAGTGTGACTGATGATTTATGGATGAATACCGTCATGAAAATAAAACAACCGTCATAAATTGTTAAAAACCTACTTCATATTGAAGTCGACAAACTTTACCTAAAAGCAGAAACGTAATCTGATTTACATTCAACGATATAAGGAGAGATGAGAGGAGGCAAAACTAGAATTTTAGAATTTTGTGTTGTGGAACAAACCGCTGACTGAAGATGGCTGCAGCAGAGTGTGGTTGAGCCCATTTCTGTGGTAACATTCCATGGGACTCTTTACAATGTGATGCAACTTTGTTTCTCCTTGTTTCAGCAAGATGTTGTAGCAAACCAGTTTTCGGTTGCCTAGGCAATGACCCCCCCTCCCCCACACACACACACCAAAAAAAATCCCTGACCATCACCAGCTTTACTACAGATATTGACAGCGCACGATAGGGAGGCAAGAAAATACTTGTTTTTGAGAGCAGCAAAGGCTCTTGTTGTTTGATTCATCATAAGCTAACGTACAGTTATGAATATAACTACTGTTCCCTGAAAGAGGGAAATGAGATACAACATACTATGGGGAGTCAACGACCGCTCCAATCACCTGAAGAAAACTAAAAACGCCCAACGGGCCAATGAATGCAGAGACCGCCCTCGGAAGCCCCGCCTTGCTGGCTATAACACTGGGGCTCGCATTCATAATCTCAGTTCGGTACCGCTCTTCAGCCAGCCCAAACCCCCTGATGCCGTGGTTCCAAAATATGTTATACCTCATTCCCTACTTCAGGGAACAGTAGTTATATTCAAAACTGTACATTCCCTTTATGTCAGTTACTCGGTGTAGCATACTATGGGGACATACAATCACGGCCATATATATAATACATACATACAGTGAGGGGAAAAAAGTATTTGATCCCCTGCTGATTTTGTACGTTTGCCCACTGACAAAGAAATTATCAGTCTATAATGTTAATGGTAGGTTTATTTGAACAGTGAGAGACAGAATAACAACAAAAAAATCCAGAAAAACACATGTAATAAATTGATTTGCATTTTAATGAGGGAAATAAGTATTTGACCCCCTCTCAATCAGAAAGATTTCTGGCTCCCAGGTGTCTTTTATACAGGTAACGAGCTGAGATTAGGAGCACACTCTTAAAGGGAGTGCTCCTAATCTCAGCTTGTTACCTGTATAAAAGACACCTGTCCACAGAAGCAATCAATCAATCAGATTCCAAACTCTCCACCATGGCCAAGACCAAAGAGCTCTCCAAGGATGTCAGGGACAAGATTGTAGACCTACACAAGGCTGGAATGGGCTACAAGACCATCGCCAAGCAGCTTGGTGAGAAGGTGACAACAGTTGGTGCGATTGTTCGCAAATGGAAGAAACACAAAATAACTGTCAATCTCCCTCGGCCTGGGGCTCCATGCAAGATCTCACCTCGTGGAATGATCATGAGAACGGTGAGGAATCAGCCCAGAACTACGCGGAAGGATCTTGTCAATGATCTCAAGGCAGCTGGGACCATAGTCACCAAGAAAACAATTGGTAACACACTACGCCGTGAAGGACTGAAATCCTGCAGCGCCCGCAAGGTCACCCTGCTCAAGAAAGCACATATACAGGCCCGTCTGAAGTTTGCCAATGAACATCTGAATGATTCCGAGGAGAACTGGGTGAAAGTGTTGTGGTCAGATGCTCTTTGGCATCAACTAAACTCGCCGTGTTTGGAGGAGGAGGAATGCTGCCTATGACCCCAAGAACACCATCCAGTGCTGGAAAATGATGGTGGCCACACAAAATATTGACAATTTGGGCCCAATTTGGACATTTTCACTTAGGGGTGTACTCACTTTTGTTGCCAGCGGTTTAGACATTAATGGCTGTGTGTTGTTGTTATTTTGATGGGAAAGCAAATGTACACTGTTATACAAGCTGTACACTCACTACTTTACATTGTAGCAAAGTGTCATTTCAGTGTTGTCACATGAAAAGATATACTCAAATATTTACAAAAATGTGAGGGGTGTACTCACTTTTGTGAGATACATACATACATACATACATACATACATACATACATACATACATACATACAGTGGGGAAAAAAAGTATTTAGTCAGCCACCAATTGTGCAAGTTCTCCCACTTAAAAAGATGAGAGAGGCCTGTAATTTTCATCATAGGTACACGTCAACTATGACAGACAAAATGAGAAAAAATTTTCCAGAAAATCATATTGTAGGATTTTTAATGAATTTATTTGCAAATTATGGTGGAAAATAAGTATTTGGTCAATAACAAAAGTTTCTCAATACTTTGTTATATACCCTTTGTTGGCAATGACACAGGTCAAACGTTTTCTGTAAATCTTCACAAGGTTTTCACACACTGTTGCTGGTATTTTGGCCCATTCCTCCATGCAGATCTCCTCTAGAGCAGTGATGTTTTGGGGCTGTCGCTGGGCAACACGGACTTTCAACTCCCTCCAAAGATTTTCTATGGGGTTGAGATCTGGAGACTGGCTAGGCCACTCCAGGACCTTGAAATGCTTCTTACGAAGCCACTCCTTCGTTGCCCGGGCGGTGTGTTTGGGATCATTGTCATGCTGAAAGACCCAGCCACGTTTCATCTTCAATGCCCTTGCTGATGGAAGGAGGTTTTCACTCAAAATCTCACGATACATGGCCCCATTCATTCTTTCCTTTACACGGATCAGTCGTCCTGGTCCCTTTGCAGAAAAACAGCCCCAAAGCAAGATGTTTCCACCCCCATGCTTCACAGTAGGTATGGTGTTCTTTGGATGCAACTCAGCATTCTTTGTCCTCCAAACACGACAAGTTGAGTTTTTACCAAAAACTTCTATTTTGGTTTCATCTGACCATATGACATTCTCCCAATCCTCTTCTGGATCATCCAAATGCACTCTAGCAAACTTCAGACGGGCCTGGACATGTACTGGCTTAAGCAGGGGGACACGTCTGGCACTGCAGGATTTGAGTCCCTGGCGGCGTAGTGTGTTACTGATGGTAGGCTTTGTTACTTTGGTCCCAGCTCTCTGCAGGTCATTCACTAGGTCCCCCCGTGTGGTTCTGGGATTTTTGCTCACCATTCTTGTGATCATTTTGACCCCACGGGGTGAGATCTTGCGTGGAGCCCCAGATCGAGGGAGATTATCAGTGGTCTTGTATGTCTTCCATTTCCTAATAATTGCTCCCACAGTTGATTTCTTCAAACCAAGCTGCTTACCTATTGCAGATTCAGTCTTCCCAGCCTGGTGCAGGTCTACAATTTTGTTTCTGGTGTCCTTTGACAGCTCTTTGG